CGTTTTAGCAGTATTAAACTGCGAGTTTGAAAGTTAAAGACCTATAACTTTCAGAATATATGTAAAATTGTGAGCTGAGCAACTTTAATTAAGGCACTAAAGTTGGTTATCTTAATAAGATAACCGGGTATTAGTGATTTTGTTACTGATGAATTTTTTGTTATTTTGTGTAAAAGGATTTACGGAAAGAGTTTCGCTAAGACCTTCAATTTCTTTAGTATTTATTATAATGAGTTTGGATTTTTTTTATTAATTTGTATATTATTTTCTTAAAAAGTCTTTTGCTATTATAATAATTTTTCTATTTAAGCTTTATTTAATGTAATTCATGCTATATTGTTTATAAAATTACTATATTTTGTTTCATTTTTTTTTTGCAAATTTGTTTTTTACTGTTATTACCTTAAATGCTTACTCTGTTAATAATAGCTGCTTTTAAATATGTATTAAAATATATATAAAAGTAGTAACTTTCTTAAATATGATTAGAATCTTCTCTTTTGTCAAGATTGTTAAGTTCCAAAAACTATACTTTAATTTTATCTACAATTTGTCATAAATATATAGTTGTTATAAGTTTTTGAAAGATGACAAAAAATTTATTGTTATGTCTAAATATAAAGATATTTAGAATTAGATGTAACTATTTAGATTTAAGACTTGAGAAAGATTTGAGTTAATAAATACAAGAAAGTATTTAAATAATTTTTTAAAGAATATAACAAAAAGGTTTTTAACATTATATTTAGTATCTTTATATAATGTAGTGTAATTTTCTATAGTACAGATATAAATATGATAAAATGCTACTTTAAAACATTGTTAAGAGTATTCATATAATAAGTCAATAGAAGTAATAGTAGATTAGTAAAGTAGAAGAGCTTTATATATATTAGAAATTTAAGAACAATTTGATATTTAATAAAATTAAAAGTTTTTTGTTTATCAATTTTAATAAATTGGTATTTATAAATATTAAAAAATTTTTGAACCATAATTTGAATTCTATAAAATAATTGTTAAATAAAGAAATTTGAAATGTTTAAAAAAAATATTATTTAGATATATTGAAAAAAATATTAATAATAAATTTGTTATTATTTTGTATTTTAAAGAAAGGTTTTTTAATAATATCTTTACTAATATAGTAGTAAAGTTTAAAATAAATAAAATAGAGGTTATACTCTTTATAAAATTTCTTTGCATTGATAGTTTTGTATTTGTCATAAAGAATAAGATAAAAACAGACTAAATTAAATATAATTTGTGTTTTGTTTAAGGTAGTGTAAGATGAGATTAAGCTATATAAACTAAAGATTTTAAAATAATTAAAATGAATAAAAAAAAGTAATAGTAAATTCTTAAATGATGCAATAAGAGTTAAATAAATTAATTCAAATAAAATAAAAAATGATTGGTCTATATATAGTTTGTTTTTATATATAAGATATATTAAAAACTTAGAATGAAATTTGACTAAAATTTTAACTAAATATATATAATTAAACTTAGTTGCTAGTTTGCTTTTAGTTGCTTGTTTAATAATTTTATTAAAATATATATTTAAGATATAGTTTGATAAAGTTATGAATTTAAAAAGCCAGTTTGTTATCAAATTAAATATAATTTTTATTTTGTTAGTTATTGGATATTTCTTAAACTATTTAAGATTATTAAAAATATTTCTATTGATTTATTTTTGTTTTGATTTTGTTACTTTATAAATTATTAAATATTAGATTTCTTAGAAAAAATTAATTTATAAAGTTGGATTTTGTTTTTTATAAAATGATATTGAGTTTATAGAAGATAATAAATTTTTTTTGATTTGAATTTAATAAAGTTATATAAAAAATTTAAGTTCAATATTTAGAAACTTTGGTATACAGAATCAGTAAATTAAAAATTCTTTAAAAATACATGTTACTGTGTAGTCTGATGCATAATTGTATTAGTTATTTGTAAAAACATATTAAATATTTTTAACTTTATAAAGAAAACAGATATAATAATATTAAGGATAAGTAATTATAAATGTAAAAACAAATTTGTTTAGAAGTTTGAAAAAAAATATGCTAAAAAAGAAAAAAAAAAAAATGATTAGGTTTGGTTGATTAGTTTAAAAATTGGTAAGCTAAAATGGTTTATCTAATAATTTAAAGCTTATATAGAAATAATAATTCTAATTTGAGTTTGATTTAGATTTAAAGATTGACTAATTGTTGATAAATAATTAATTTTATAATATTTAGAAATAAAGCTTATATAAAACTTGCTATAGAGATAAATTATAATTTCAGATTAAAGAAAAACTTTAAAATAATTTTATTATTTTTTCTTATAACAAAAATCTGATTTAGCAAAGGCTAACATAATATGTAATATTTAAATTTTATTTTCTTAGAGTCCAACTCTATATTTGTCTTTATATTTAAAGTAATAATAGTTAATATCATAGAAATCTGATTCTTGAAAATTAGTTAAAGTATGTATTTTTTAAAGCTATTTTTAAAATTAAAGTGTAATAAATAAGAAGTATGATAAATAAGAAGTATAACAAATAAAACATATGACAAATAAAAAGTATGATATTTAAATAAACACTTAGTATAACATCTAAGTAATTAATATAATTAATATATAATAAAAATTGTATAATTTAGTTAAAACTAAATTAATAAAGTTAAAAATAAATAAAATAAATTAGATTAGTATAAATAGATTAATAATATTAATTAGTAATATAGATCTGCAGATTTAAGATATCTTGAAAGGACCAAAATTCTTTTTAAAAAAGTAAAAAAATTTATAAAAGTAAAGTATAATTTTCAAAAGAGTTTTGAACTATTTTATTCTATAATTGTTAATTTTAGACTGTTTATAATGTATTATAGATTAAAATAATAGTTGAAATAAGCTAAACAATTTTGTTCTATATAGTAACTATAGTTTACTTAATAAATTTTTAAGCTTTAGTAGAAAAAAGAAAATTTCAAAGTTTAATTATATCTTAGTATTAAATACCTATAAGAATATAAAACTAGACTGTCTATATATAAAATTTTATTAGAACCAATTTTACTTAAGTAGCCAAAGTAGGGTCATATAATAAAAAAATTAAGAAAAATATAATTATTTTTAGAGAAACTTAGTGCAAGTGATTGTTAAAAAAAGTTAATTATTTTTATTTAATTATATATTTTATATTAGAACCTAATTTCTATTAAATATACTAATTAGATATTATTAAAGTCATCTATCTTACATTAAAAAATTAATATACCTTTTGTAATTTCTAAATACTAAATTATATTATTTTATTTAAATTTGTTATTTAATTTAATTATATATCTTACTTCTCAATTAAATCTTTTATTATATCTAAAATATCTTTTTATTATAACAACTTATTAGTTTTTTTTTTAAAAAAAATAAGACCTGATCTTAGACTTTATTAAACAATTTGGTATTACATTAACTAAAATGTTTTACATAAATTATTACATAGATTTATAGCTAGGACTAGTTTATTCTTAACTCAAAACTTTATTATAATAAGCTGTCAAATCTTATCTAGATTTAGTATTACAATATAAGATGAGATATTTTAGTAATAAAAAAAATAATAACATATTTTTCATATTTTGTTACAGCTACTTGATTTGTAGCTAGGTGCTAAGTGATTACAATTATTAGTATATTTATTTTAAGCTGTTTTGATGCACTGTTTTGCATCATTCTATTTATATTTGTTTATATATATTGTTTGATATTTTGTAAAATAAGATAATAAATATATTTAAGTTAATATTATTAATTGTAAATAGGTTGTTTGAAATTAAACCTTGTAATCTAAAAAGGTTATATGTGCTGTCCAATATTTGAAAAGTTGTTGAAATAGAGTAATATGTTGTGCAGTTTAATTTTGTATTTAGTACCAAATTTGAAAGTAATTTTTAGATTAGCTAATTTAGAAACATAGGAGATCATTATCTGTTTTATATAAGCATTGATGACATATTATTGCACTCTTTATTAATGTAAAAAATCCAATTAGCTGTTCTGAAGCTTTCTTGAGTTTACCTTCCATACCGTTTCTAGCTGTAGATAAATATATCTCATGCTTAGGATGAATACAAAGATTAGTTAGCTTAGGTTTTTTCTTACATTTATGATATATTTGTTATAATGCTTTTAGCATAATGCTTTGCCAACTAAATCCAGGTGTTGGTATCTTTATTTGATCAGTTACGGTTGAAGCACCATGCTGTTCATAATTACAGATCACATCGTCGTAGCCTTCCAAATCACAATGTTGGGCCTTTCTTTTTCCTTTTTTCTTGCTAAGACAAGCTTCAAAATGAACTTCCTGTGCCGACATTTTGTTATTAACTTATCTTGTATGGATAAGATTTAATTAGTATCAGATTCTTAACGTAAAATAGTAGATAGTACATAACCATACTACATTACACCAAACCTTAATTTCCAACCAATAAAATGTTACAAAAATTGAAAATTGATCTACCAAAATCAGCCAATCATGGCGAAAGCCCGCTATGCATATGGTATAATAATAAATGAATGATCAGTCAATATTATTCTAAACTCTACTAAATACTCCAGGGAAATATGTCTAGTATGTCCATTAACATTTTTAGCGAAGTATAACATATTAATTGATATTATCTGAATTCTGAATTGAATAACATACTCAATTATTAGTTGGCATCGATCTAGGAACAACAAATTCGTGTGTGGGTGCATGGAAAAATGATCATTTTCAAATAATTACAAACGATATTGGAAATCGCATCACACCTTCATATGTGGCATTCACTGATTATGGATGTTTGATTGGTGATTCTGCTAAGAGTCAAATCTTCAGAAACTGTTTCAATACTATTCACAGTTTTAAAAGACTTATTGGTCGTGATTTTTATGACCCAATTATTCAGAAAAGTCTTAAAGTATAAACTCTTTCAATAAACGTTCAATATAACTTATTATATTCATATAATTAATAATTTTCTTTGTTTAGTATTGGAAATTTAACGTTGTTGATAAAAACGGTAAACCTTATATTCAAGTTAAGGAAATGGGTGTCACTAAATATTTTACTCCGCAAGAAATCTGTTCCATGGTGTTGTCAAGGATTAAAAAACTAGCTGAAAATTTCACTGGATCACAAGTTAATTCCGCTGTTATTACAATTCCAACATGTTATAATCTAACTCAAAATAAAGCGATTGTAAATGCTGGTCACGCGGCAGGCTTGATTAATCTTTCTACAATTAGTAATACATCGGCTTCAGCAATCACTTATTGTATGTCACATAAATCAAATGGTGATCAAAATTTGTTAATTGTTGATCTTGGAAGTAGTAATCTTAGCGTATCTCTCGTAGTTATTGAAGATAATATTATTGAAGTGAAGGCAGTTGCTTGTGATTTATATCTTGGTGGAGAAGATTTCGACCTTCGAATTGTTGATTATTTTGTTCAAGAATTTAAACTCAAATTTAAAAAGGATCTCACTTTAGATGGTCGTGCAATGAGTCGCCTTCAAACTGCCTGTGAACGAGCAAAATGTACACTTTCTGTCACAACTTAAGCAAATATTGAAATCGATGATCTTTTTGATAATATTGACTTTTACACTTCTTTGACACGTTGGAAATTTGAAGAGTTAAATCAGGACTTATTTTATTCTATTCTTGAACCAATTCAAAAAGTTCTTAGAGACGCCAAAGTAGATAAAACCCTTGTTCATGAAATTATATTAGTTGGTGGTTCTACTCGCATTCCTAAGGTACAAAAACTTATTTCAAAATTTTTTGACGGAAAGAAGTTAAATCAATCTATCAATCCTGATGAAGCTGTTGCTTCCGGTGCTGCAGTACATGCCTCTATATTGTCTGGTGATGTATCAGAAAAGTTACAAAATTTACTGTTACTTGATATTGCACCTTTATCTCTTGGTATCGAGACTGTTGGTGGAGTTATGACTCCAATTATAAAAAAAAATGGCACAGTTCCTACAAAAAAGTCAGAGATCTTTTCTACATGTTATGATAAACAACTTAGTTTATTTATTAAAGTATATGAAGGAGAACATGCTCGTACAAAAGATAATAAATTTCTTGGTAATTTAACTTTAACGGGCATTCCTTCAGCTCCTAAAGGTGTGCCACAAATTGAAATTACTTTTAACCTATGTTCTCGTAACATTTTAAATGTTGGTTTCTTTTTTTTTTTTTATAATCAGTTTTTAATTTACTGTATGTAATTTCCTAGCATCTCATTTTTAGTTCTTTTAAACAGATTTCTGCCGTTGATAAAACTACTAGACGATCTAAAAGTATCATTATCGATGGTAGCGAAAATAATAAAGACCCAACTTTACTTGATCAAGGATGGAATATGTAAATATACAACCAACCAACAATTATTTCTGAATTTACAAATACGAACCTAGCTCTAACTTCTATATTTACAAATCCGCAATCAACTGCTGCCTCTGACTTCACATATCCACAATTAACCGTTACTTTGGTTCTACAAATCCACAATCAACTATAACTACTAGACCTAACAATTCATCTCCATTCTCGGTACCAATTTTTATTTCTGGATCTAAAAATTCACCTCAATTATCAACACCAACTCTTATTTATGGATCTAAAAGTCCTTCTACATTCTCAATACCAAATTTTACTCCTGAAGTTTCATCACCAATCGATACTTCCAAATCAAAAGAGCCATTCTTATCTAAAGATTCATCACCAATCTATACTTCAAAATCAAAAGAGCCAAAACCAACCTCAATGCCATTCTTATCTAAAGATTCATCACCAATCTATACTTCAAAATCAAAAAAGCCAAAACCAACCTCAGTGCCATTCTTATCTAAAGATTCATTACCAATCTATACTTCAAAATCAAAAGAGCCAAAACCAACCTCAATGCCATTCTTATCTAAAGCCTCGCAACTTTCGACTCCAGTTTACATTCGATCACCAATTTATCAGCAGCGTGAAAATATTTCACAAGACACTCAAGAAATTAATAAGGTAATATTTAATACTACAAATTACTATAGGTGGTACATATAACATTAGAATGAAATTTAATTAGTAAAAAATGATTTATTTAATTGATTAATTGTATAGAATGAAGGTTCTACTAAATTAGCAAAAGAATCAACGTTAAGCATGATAACCCTTCATACAAAAAAAATGTCACCTTTTAAGAGCAATATACATATTACTTTGGATATGACATTTGATGATCTTATTAAATCTGTATTTACAATGGGTGCACCTAAAGGAAAAATGTTTGTAATAAAAACATCCCTTGATTCTAAAGGTAGGCAATTTTTACCTAACCAAATTCTTTCACAGGTATTATTTGAAAATCATGTTGATTTATGGGTGGATATAGAAGATATTCCTGATTTTAATAAATTGTTTTAGGGATTCATGCTTAATAACAATGAAAAGATTTTCAAATTTGATTTTGTGTACAATTTAGTGATCCAAATCATTAGTTTAAAAACAAATTAACGAATCAATTGAAATTGTTGATTATATAAATAGTAGAATTAAAAAATTAATTTTTATTTAGCCAATTAAATTAGTTAAATGTAGTAGTACAATAAACATGCAATAGTTTTTAAAAACATGTGCAACTAATCGCGTGTAAATTGCCTTTGAAAAATTTTGACCAATTCGAAGCATTATAACAATTTAAGATTCGCAATGCTGCATATTGAAATATCACCTTTCATTGTTATTTAGTATATACTGCAAGTTTAAAAGATTTTCACGCTAGAATATAAAAAATAATAAATAATGATTGAAATTTTACCATGTCTATATCTGATTTTACATCTTTTGATTAGTCATGTAGAAAATTTTAAAGTAAGATACTGCATGATTTTTATTAATGTATCTTGGATGTATATTGAACAAAATTATAGAATAACAGTAATCTGGCTCAACTGGGAATATGAGTACGTTTTAGCCAATCATTTGTCCGGTTGAACAAATTATTGTATTAGACAGCATCGGCAATTTATGATAAGGTGCTATCAGCTGTGTTTTAATTCGATTACATCATAACACCGAAAAAATAATACTGAAAAAAATAACATTGAAAAAAACAAGACGACGCATGATCATATGAATTTGTTGGATAACTATTTTACAATATTTATAATATTTGTAAAGTTAAAAAAATTTGATTATTTTTTGCAAAAAAGCCTTTAAATTTAAAACACAAAAAATAAAAAAAAATAAGAACTAATCTTTAATTATAATTACAGTATTACGTTAAAGCCTTTCTTTAGGTGGGCCTTCATTAATAAATTCAAAGCTCTTTAATTACCAAAGGACACATCAAGGTTTGCACCATGATCGAAATCTAATCTAGAAATCGTGTAATAGGACTATTTTAAGTATCGGAAGGATTCTACATTCGACCATGATATTCGATTCCATTATTCTATTGTTCTCATATGTACCTACCCTTTTCTAAACCAAATTAATATTTTTAACCTTGCTAAAAATCGAATTAAGCTAAACCGAATTAATGTTTGCACTTGCTAAACCATATTTGTGTTTATTTCCGTATGTTGATCATATGCCCCGAATCTTGCAGGTTCTGGCTATTACCAGATCACGTCTTAGAATTAGATCACCTGTTACGATTTTTTGAAATGCCACGATATTTGTTCATTTCAATGATCAAATACTCTAACTTGTATAACGATTGGTACCATCATAAATAGAGTGTCTGTAAGTGGTTTAAATTGTTTAAACAAATATAACTAGCGACTTGCTCAATTGATGACATCCAATCAAATGTATGAATTTGCGATATTTCTGATTATTGACCAATAACTGAAAAGCTATTCTAAATACATAAATGGACCTTCCGACTGCCGGCTAAAGTACATGGTCATCAATCAATCAAATAAATATTAATCGTTATTATAATAATTATGCTGAATAAACATAGAGAAGGATATCATATGCAAATATACGAGATTAATCATGCATCATTGATATTATATCGTAGAGTAAATGCCGTAATCATAATACGTAATTATGATAAATCAATGGTAGGCTGATTTTTCAGGGTCCACTTTGTGGCAAGAATAATAATGTATGTAGATCTAATTTAAGAGATTATTTTAAAATTACCGAGTTACGTAAGTATGTTCATGCAGTATATACATAATTGTACAGCACATACGACATCGAGTAACCTATTACTCCTTTTGTAAGATGAACTTATTATTTAAAATGTTAGAGCGAAATAAAGAGAAAACCGTGGTTATGTTTGAAAAAATCATTCGTTCTTCTGAAATCTTATGAGCATCATGATGAATATCTACTTTAGCATTTAAAGGAAAAATGATGTGACAAGTGTGATTTAAAATAATTTTGCATTAAACCTATAGTTATTTTAATTTGGAACGGATCCCATTTGTTATGTATATAGATTTACTAAAAGGCTAATCATTACTATCGCTATTGCTATGATATAAAGCCAGAATTCATTATGCAGCAAAAATGATCGACATTTATTGTGCATCAGATTGAAGATAACTATAATACCATCATTCTTCAAAAACCAAACAAATTTAATCAATTTGATCAAAATTTAAATCCAAGTTAAATATAGAAAACAGGAATTATTCTCAATTCGAATTAGAAAGGTTAGAAGATTCGATCTACAGATAAACATGCATTTGTAAAATTCAGAATTCGTTTGTGAATAGAATCAAAAGAGGCACTGATACGATCAAGATATCATTGCAAAATTTCTTTATTAATGCACTACGTACCAAGTTAATTTTGATGATACTGTATCACGAATAATAATGCAGTAGTATAAATACATATGATCATGTAACTAAAACGTGATTCTATTAAAAATTTGATTTAATCAAACAACTAAATCGGGCAATTTATTAAGCCTTTTGCATATTCAATCGAAAGTTCGGATTAACGAAAAAATTTTATTCGGAATTCTATTCGTACTTCCATTCAATTACATAAATTTCAGGACAAAATTTTGCTTAGCGTATGACAATAATTAGTGATTTTAAAATTTTTGTTAGAATACAGTATGCAAAAAAATGTATCAATACAGATTATAATCCGACAAGATCAATACATAATACGTAAAATAAATTTTAATTTGGTAACTTCATGATAAGGCTGCTTTACAAAAGATCTAGCTAAACATGGAGAATTCTTATCGCTATTTCTCTAATTAGATGAGCCCAGCCATCTAATATTACTATGCATAATTATTAATCAGCAATAAGAACACAGATGAGTTCGAATTATCATTTGGTTTTTGTTATTTAGATTAATAGCTCTACAGTATATTATGTTTAAGAAACCTTCGTACCTACGTATGTACATACGTATCTGACGTTAAAATTTTGAATGAATCATCTTTGAAGCCATCTTGAAGTGTGGCATTATTTAAATGCTAATCAACATTGTTTGACATGTCTCCACATCCACTAACACGTTAGTACGCCAATTTGCCAAGAAATGTCAATGCGTTATCGTATCATAATACATACAGATCATTTACTATTATTCAGTAAATTCCGTGTAATACAATTTGCAAAATTTGGCATCATTATATCATAACCTACAGTAAATTCATAAATTTTATAGGCTGACTGATGTTTGATTCTGGTCAGAAATTAAAGTTTAAAAAAGAACTTTCCGAAAAATAACCGCCATATATAACATAATATAACATAATATAACTTAATTTAATTTATTGTAACATAATACGTAATATTATTGGATTAATTTTAAACTTTACTTCCTACACATAAGCCAACTCCGATAACTACAAGAACTATTCCAATCCATGTTTCTGATTTTATTAATAAATAAGTAAATAAAATGACGAATTAAGTTTAATGAGTTATCAGATATGAATTTATGATAATTAAAATTACTACCTTTGGTCCCAGTTTGTTCGCCGAGTAAACTAGCGGCTAAGGCTGTAAATATAAATGTTAAAGAATTTGTAATAGGAACCGCCAATGATAAATCTTTAAAATATTCATAATCATTTCGTCAATATTTATCTATAAAAAAAAAATTTCAATGTAATATATTATTCGTTTACCGGCTTGCCCAAGTGTGTAATAATAAACTATTGACCCACTTAAATTAATAAATAACGGTATAATATACTTTTAAAAAAAACTTAAATTAGTAATAATATTTGACAACGAAAATGATATAAATTAAATTCTATAATTATTACTTGCAATCTGGTTAAAAGGAACCAATATTCTGCAAGGATTTGTTTTAGCCAAAAGTCATGCTTAATGTTTTCTAGTCCAATGCAACCTTTTTTGATGAACGGATTTGTGAATCCCCAACATATTGCAACTTAATAAGTATCCAAAAAAATTTTTTTGTTTAGTGATTAAAAAAAAAAAAAAAAAATTGAAACCAATCAAAAATTAAAAAAAGAAATTTCCATTTATTGATACCTAAAAGAAATCCAACAATATTTTCTTACAAAAAGGAAAAAAAATTTTTTTAATTACAATGAATATAAAACAATCTGAGACGATTATGACCGAAATGACGTAAATGTAATAGTTACTGATTAACAAATCACCATCATTAATTTCGTCCATCGATACGTATCATCGATAAGTGCATTTACCAATACAGGACCATATACCTGGAATTTATACAAATTATACCAATAGCACTAATGATTGATCATTTCTATGATTATACATATTGAAAAAGGGGCTGGCTGTGTTTCTAAAATTAGGTTTATGTACATACATTACACCCTACCGTTACATCAACCGCTACATCAACAAGACTTCGGCCGCCTTTGTGTAACCTCTCCTAATTGGTTTGTACCTTATATTATATTATGTAGCTTGCCGAGGACACCGAGACGACAATATCAATATAATATTAAAATTTTAATATTGAAAATTTTTAAGGAATATCTGTCTCCTTATTGCCTTATGACACAATGATCATGACCGTTATAATTGAAATTTTATTATTTAAACAACTAAAATAATTATGATTTCGGCTTTTTTTTTCATCGCAAGATGGAAAAGAAGCTTGAATTCAAACTTTCAAAGAATGATTCGGAAAATGCTTCTACCTCTAGGATCAGACCTGTAACCCTAGAGAGACGAAGATCTCAACTTAGTATTGAATATAGAACACTTTCTATAAGACTTGAAGAATCTCGTACTAAAACTTTAGAAGAGAATGAAAAAGATCCTAGAATAAAAAAAGAACTTGAAATTGATTTTCATAAATTATCTCTTCATGAACTTAGTTTACGTTTCAACACTGATACCTCTTCAGGTCTTGATTCTTTAACCGCTACTCAAAGATTACAACGTAATGGAAAAAATCTTATAAGTCCTCCTGATTCTAAATTATTTAAAAAAATTTTTTATTACTTTTTTGGTGGTTTTTGTCCTTTATTATGGTTTGCTTCTTTAATTTGTTTCCTTGCTTGGAAACCTCTTGGAAATCCTCCTGATAAAATCAATATGGGTCTTGCTATACTTCTTTTAATCGTTATCTTTCTTCAAGCTATTTTCAATGGTTATCAAGATTGGACTTCTAGTGCTGTAATGAAATCAATTAATAGTATGCTACCATCTACTGCAACTGTAATACGTGATGGAAAAACTCAATCCGTTCCTCTATCAACTTTAGTTGTAGGTGATTTAATTCAATTAAAAATTGGTGCTAAAGTACCTGCTGATGTTCGTATAATAAATCAATTTGATCTTAAATTTGATAAATCTGTCTTAACCGGTGAAAATAAACCTGTTAACGCTAGCGTTGAAATGACTGATGATATTTACCTTGAATCTCGTAATATTGGTCTTATGGGTACTTTAATAACTAATGGTGAAGGTTTAGGTATAGTTGTAGCTACTGGTGATCGTACTGTTATGGGAAAGATTGCTAAATTATCTTCTACTACTTCACAAGAAAGATCTATCTTACAAAAAGAAATTACTAGTTTCGTTATAATTGTTACTTGTTTGGCTATTTTAACTTCTGCTTTAACTCTTATTGTTTGGGCTGCTTGGTTAAGAGTCTATTATCCTAATTTTATTGATTTATCTGGTGCTCTGGTAAATTCAATTGGTGTACTTGTAGCTTATGTACCTGAAGGTCTTCCAATTGCTGTTACTTTAACTCTAACTTTAGTGGCTAGAAAAATGGCTAAACAAAAAGTTTTAGTAAAGAATTTAACTGTAGTTGAAACTTTGGGCTCGGTAAATGTAATTGCTAGTGATAAAACTGGAACATTAACTCAAAATAGAATGTTTGTAGATATAGCTCATGTTGGTGATGAATCTTTTAATCGTGAAAAATCTCTTGAGGCTAAAAATTCAAAATCTTTAGGATTTTATCAATTGGTTTCTGTTGGTCGTCTTTGTAATTCTGCTTCTTTTGATCCTAAAACTATAGACCTTCCAATTAATGAAAGAATTATTTTAGGTGATGGTACTGATTCGGCTATTTTTCGTTTTGTTACTGAATATGCTATTGATGATTTGGAGATTGAAAAATTCAACAAAATTGCTGAAATACCATTTAATTCAAAAAATAAGTGGATGTTACGTATAATGAAACCTAAGGACAGTAATAATGTATATAAGACTGATAGAAATATCTTGGTGATTAAAGGTGCTCCTGATGTATTGCTCGGTAATTGTACACGTATTCTCGATTCTGATGGTACTGAAAGACCACTTGATGATAAAGCTCGAAAATCTTTGGTTGATACTCAATCTGAATGGAGTAATTCTGGTAAACGTGTAATCTTACTTTGTCGTCGTATTATTACAAATGAAAGTGAAATTCCTTCAGATACTAGTGATTTGGAATTACTTGGTCAACTTACTTATAATTTAACTGTCATTGGTCTAATGGGTATTCTTGATCCACCACGACCTGAAATTCCTGATGTTATAAGGACTTGTCGTGGTGCTGGAATTAGAATATTTATGGTTACCGGTGATTATTCCTTAACTGCCTCTTCTATCGCTAAACAAGTTGGTATCTTTTCGGATTCAGAGGATTCCATACATACTATTAATGATCTTGAACAACTATCTGAAAAATTAGAAATTGTCGAACATAAAGAACCAACACAAATAATTCCTAAAAAATCAAAATCACTTTTATTGACCGGATCTGATTTAGTAACTTTATCCGAAAAACAATGGGATATGGTCATTTCTTATGATGAAATTGTATTTGCTCGTACAACTCCTGAACAGAAATTACGCATAGTTCAAGAATTTCAAAATAGAGATTCAGTCGTTGGTGTAACTGGTGATGGTGTTAATGATGCACCTGCATTGAAAGCTGCTAATATTGGTATTGCTATGGGAGGTGGAAGTGAAGTAGCAATAGAAGCTGCAGATATGGTACTTTTAGATAATAACTTTTCATCAATAGTGGTTGCTCTAGAAAGTGGTCGTTTAGTCTTTGATAATTTGAAAAAAGTAATTCTATATTTATTACCTGCTGGATCTTGGTCCGAATTGATTCCTGTACTTGTCAATGTATTTTTAGGTGTTCCATTACCTTTATCAACATTTTTAATGATATCTATTTGTGTGTTAACCGATATGCTTCCTTCTATTGCTCTCATGTATGAGAAAGCTGAAAAAGATGTACTTACACGTCCACCTCGAAATCCAAAAAAATCACGTCTCGTGGATTGGAAATTACTTGTTCAAGCTTACCTTTTTATAGGCATAATGGAATCATTCTTTTCACATTGTATGTATTTTCGTTACATGCAACAATATGGTGGATTTCAACCATCAGATTTATTATTAGCTTATAATCGATGGACAGATGGATATAAAGGATATACAGGAGATCAATTAAATGAATTTATGTATACTGGACAAAGTGTTTTATTTGTTAGTTTAGTTGCTATGCAAGCTTTTGGAAATCTTTTTGCAACTCGAACAAGACATTTATCATTATTCCAACATTTACCAATTAAAGAACGATCAAAAAATTATTATCTTTTCTGTGCACAAATTGGTTCTATTCTTCTTGCTTGTCTTATAATATATACTCCCGCAATTAATGATGCTTTAAATACCAGACCTATTCCTGTGGAATATTGGTTTATTCCTCTTGGTTTTGCAATTATTATTGTAGTTGTTGATGAAGTTAGGAAATTTTTTGTTCGTTGTCATTCCCCTCCTTTCTTTCATAAACTCGCTTGGTAATTTATTAGGAAAAAATTTCAGAGTATCTCTCAAACTATGTACTAGAAAGATTGCGGACAAAAAATGCTATTATGAAAAAGGCTCCTATATTTCAGGAATTCAACATTTTGTAATAATTTATAATACTGTATAACGTATAACTGTGGAAAAAAAAATAGGGTGGCGTTTCATAATTAATCATTTTTCATTCTCCTTTACAACAAATCTTTTATTTAATTCGATCCCTAACTATTTCATGGAATACAATAATTTCAATAATTATGAAAGCCCGTTAAATTATTTTGAACTATCTGCAAAAATATATAATATATTGGAAAAATTGTAATTTAATTACCAATTATTTAATACTATGCAGATATGTAAATTTAAATGCAGTATAATCTTAGTATAACGAAGCTTTTTGGTTGGGATTTCATTGAATCGAGGTAGAATTTGTATCTATAAATATAATTAAGCTAGTGACAATTTCATTATATCGAGGTTATACTGTATTGCTTGTGTATTTAATTTTAATTAAAATAAAAAAATCTTTAATTTAAACTGAAATTAACGATATTACTAGAGATGGGTTTAATGCGTGCGCATGATTGCGGAAACATGCGCATGATTCCGTTTCATGCGCATTTTATCCCATCAAGATTTCTCTCCTCTCGATCGTTTTTTCTTTTTTTTTGCCTTTTTTTTATCATGCGATATCATGCGCATGAAACATTTTGTGCGCATTAATGCGCATTCATGCGCATGTTATTTTAAAACGCGCATTTTTCCCATCACTAGATATTACATGATTTTAAGTGAAGTATTTGCCATAAGTAAATTTATGCATCATACAATATAAATTTTGTGACTTAATTCAATAATTCATTTAAATATTATAAGAGCAAGGTGCTGAGAAAAGGGACAAATTGACAATTTTTCAAAGATCTTTATTTGAGCTTAACTAATTCAAAAAATAACCCTGGATCATTTTTTTACTTAAAGAAAAAATGCTGTTAAAAAATTTTGTAGTATAACTCTTAAAGGTTTGCATTTTTTATAAACTATTCCAGAATTTATAACATAAAAATCAATCTCAGCAAAACTCTTTTTTTTAATTTGGTCTCTTTACTCAACATCAAGTCCATGTATTAAATGATAGATGCAATAAAGTTTTGTGCAACGGTTGGTCAACAAAACCTATAATACAAGCGTTGATTATCTAAAGAATAAGCATATCATTCATTTTATATTTGATTACTTTGAAAGTCTATCATTATGTATTTTAATATCAGTAGCAAATTGATCGTGATTTGTAAAATAATTATCATTGATAACATGGCTTCGTTTATTATATATCTGAAATTTCATAATGAAGAGGAAGTGCCATATCGCTTTGACAAGTCTTATATCCATTGTTAATACTAATCACGCGACTTGTGTATACTGCATTCGGATGAACAGGGATATCCGGTTTCCATTTCATCGAATTATATGTTATAGTTGCATTATGCGAATTGAGCAATTCTTGTTTTAATTTCGAATCCTGATTCGCCCATTCAGATTCTTTAAGTTTATATGCATATTTATCATATTCATTGAATGTCGATCTCTCTGTCTTATTCAGCCATTTGGGATACCTATAACATATAGATAATAGTCGAATCAAATCCAATACCATAGCTATATTCGGTCGTTCTAAAGGATTTTGTTCCCAACATTTTCTTAGCATATCATTATAAGTTGGAGGCATAAAATGGCACGTTTTTGGTCGAAGACCATCACAAATATCTGTTATTAGAGTTACGTCATGCGCCCTGTTTGAAAATACTGGAATCCCACAAGCTAATTCCCATAAAATAATACCTAAACTATAAATATCACCTGCCTGAGAATATGGCGATTGACAACGAAGTATCTCTGGTGCCACATTTGGTATGACTCCATAAAGTTTCTTTTCAGTCATCTGCGCTTCATTCACTGGTCGACATAGTCCAAAATCTGAAATAAAAGCATCTTCCTCATTTAATAATAAAATATTTCCACAATGAAGATCGCCGTGTACCCAACCTTTATCATGAATATTTTGAAGTTCTGTACATATAGACTGTGCTATGTTTAATTTATTTTCTAAAGTTAGTTTATCAAACTTTTTCTGCAGGAATCGTCGAAGATCACTTTGTGGTGCATAACGCATTACGAACATATATTGTGATGTCGAAGGATTTTTAGTAACGCCATATAAATGACAGCAATTAAATTGAGCTTGAATCTGCATTTAAAATAAAATTCATTTAATATTTCTGTGGACATTTCTAAGTAATTGAATTATTTAGAATATATACCTCCTTAAGAAAAATATGAACAGAATCCTTTTCACTTTTTAATTGTTTTAATGCAACAGTACAGGGATCAGATCGAGTATAATATTTGTCTCCGTCTATTATGGAAACCAATTTTATTCCCTTGTCCCATCTTGCAGAATATACAGCACCGAACCCGCCTATGCCAATAGATTCTATTTTAGTTAGTGAGTCGTACGGAATCCATTCAGGGAACTGGATATAAGATGATGAAATTTGTGCTTGTTGAATAAACCCATCAATTTGTAAATTTTCACTGGTCCAATTAGAAAACTCGCTTTTTAACACTCTATGAAGACAATTGTCGCATAAATATGTGGATTCTACAAATACGTATTCTAATGTCGAAGGGTTTTGGGTAATTCCATATAAGCAACAACAATCAGATCGATCTTGAAGCAGCTTATTTGTAAATAAAGGTTCTTTCATAAATTTCCTTAGAACAACCGAACAGGGATCTGATCGAATGTAATAGCGTTCATTGTTAAAATTTTGTATTCTTTTAGTTCCTTGACTCCACTTTGCAGAAATTGTCGCACCAAGTTCGCCTCTATTAATATAGTTTATTTCTGTGAAATAGTTATATGGAATCCATTCAGGGAACTGGATATAAGAAGATGAAATTTGTGCTTGCTGAATAAATCCATCAATTTGTAAATTTTTACTGGTCCAGTTAGAAAACTCGCTTTTTAACACTCTATGGAGACAATTGTCGCATAAATATGTGAGTTCTACAAATATATATTCTAATGTCGAAGGATTTTGTGTAATTCCATATAAGCAACAACAGTCAGATCGATCTTGAAGCTGCTTATTTGTAAATAAAGGTTCTTTCATAAATTTCCTTAGAACAACTGAACAGGGATCTGATCGAATGTAATAGCGTTCATTGTTAAAATTTTGCATTTTTTTAGCACCTTGGCTCCATTTTGCAGAAATTATCGCACCAAGTTCGCTTCTATTAATAGATTCAATTTCGGTGAAGTAATTATATGGAATCCATTCAGGATATCGGCTATAAGATAATGACTGCTGTGCTTTTCTAATAAATTCATCAATTAGCAAATTTCCACTTGACCAGTTAGAAAACTCCCTTTTTAATACTCTATGAAGACAACTGTCGCATAGACACGTGGGTTCTACAAATATATACTCTAAGTTTGAAGGATCTTGAGCAATTCCATATAAACAACAACAATCAGCTCGGTCTTGAAGCTGCTTTTCTATAAGTGAAGATTGATTTATAAACTTCTTTAGAACAACAGCACAGGGATCTGATCGAATGTAATAGCGCTCATTATCATTACTTAGTCTTTTAGCTCCTTGGCTCCATTTTGCAGAAATTATCGCACCAAGTTCGCCTCTACTAATATTTTTTATTTCTGTGAAACAATTATATGGAATCCATTCAGGATATCGACTATATTGTAATGACTGCTGCGCTTTTCTAATAAATTCATCAATTAGCAAATTTTCACTTGACCAGTTAGAAAACTCCTTTTTTAATACTTTATGAAGACAACTGTCGCATAGATGCGTGGGTTCTACAAATATATACTCTAATGTTGAAGGATCTTGAGTAATTCCGTATAAACAACAACAATCAGATCGGTCTTGTAGCTGCTTTTCTATAAGTGAAGATTGGTTTATAAACTTTAAAACAACCATACAGGGATCTGATCGAATGTAATAGCGCTTATTATTAGACCTTTGTATTTTTTTTGCACCCTGGCTCCATTTTGCAGAAATTACTGCATCAAATGTGCCTCTACTAATATTTTTTTATTTTTGTGAAAGAATTATATGGAATCCATTCAGGATATCGACTATAAGGCAATGACTGCTGTGCTTTTCTAAAAAATTGATTGATTTGCAAATTTTCACTCGACCAGTTAGCAAATTCTCTTTCTAATACTTCATGAAGACAATCATCACATATTATCGCGTATTCTTCCTCACATTTTGTATTATTTTTACAATGCTCACAATCCTCTATTACTTCCAATTTTTCATCACATTGACATACTGAGTTGGGACATATTCTAATTCTTTTTTCTAAAAGATTAAAAATATGTTCCGTTTTCAACCATATATTGGTTTTCTCTAAGTCTTTTTTGTAATAATATTCAAAATTACGTATTCCATCGTCATTGCCCATATCGGCAGATTTTTTATAATAAATAACCGCTTTAAGTTCATTCTTCTTAACGCCAATTCCATTTTGATAACAATTCCCAACAGCATTTAGTGCATTAGGATTGCTCATATTAGCAGATCCATGATAATAAATGAATGCCTTACGTTCATCCTTTTCAACTCCAATTGCTTTATGATAACAATATCCAAGATTGTATATTGCGTTAGCATTATCCATATCAGCAGATTTTTGATAACAAATGAATGCCTCATTTTCATCCATTTCAACCCCAATTCCTTTTTCGTAACAAAGTCCAAGTTTGTATATTCCAATAGAATTATCTGAGTTAGCGGATATTTGATAATAAATAAATGCTTTATGTTCATCCTTTTCGACTCCAATTCCCTCTTCGTAACAAGATCCAAGATAGCATATTCCATTAGAATTACCCATATAAGCAGATTTTTGATAATAAGTGAATGCCATATGTTCATCCTTTTTAACTCCAATTCCTTTTTGATAACAGTATCCAAGACAGTTTATTCCATAAGTGTTGGCCATATCAGCAGATTTTTGATAATAAATGAATGCCTTATGTTCATCTTTTTTAACCCCAATTCCTTTTAAATAACAATATCCAACATTATTTATTGCGACAGCATTATCCTTATTAGCACATATTTTATAATAAATAAATGCCTTATGTTCATCCTTTTCAACGCCAATTCCGTTTTGATAACAATATCCAAGACTGTTTATTCTGCTATAATTACCCATATCAGCAGATTTTTGATAATAAATGAATGCATTATGTTCATTCTTTTCAACACCAATTCCATTTTGATAACCATTTCCGACATTATTTATTGCATCAAGATTGCTCATATCAGCATATATTTGATAGTAAATGAATGCATTATGTTCATCCTTATTAACTCCAATTCCTTTTTGAAAACAATATTCAACATCATTTATTGCGTCAGCATTATCCATATCAGCAGATTTTAGATAATAAGTGAATGCCTTATCCTTTTCATCCCCAATTCTATTTATATAACAATATGTAAGATTACCTATTCCACTAGAATTACCCATTTCAGCAGATTTTAGATAATAGATGAATGCCTTGTGTTCATCCTTTTCAACTCCAATTCCTTTTCTGTAACAATCTCCAAGACTGTTTATTCCATCAGAATTACCCATATCAGCAGATTTTTGATAATAAGTGAATGCCTTATGTTCATCCTTTTCAACTCCTATTCCTTTTCTGTAACAATATCCAAGACTGTTTATTCCGCTAGAATTACCCATATTAGCAGATTTTTGATAATAAGTGAATGCCTTATGTTCATCCTTTTCAACTCCAATACCTTCTTCATAACAGTATCCAAGACTGTTTATTCCGCTAGAATTACCCATATCAGCGGATTTTTGATAATAAATGAATGCCTTATGTTCATCCTTTTCAACTCCAATTCCTTTTCTGTAACAGTCTCCAAGACTGTCTATTCCGCTAGAATTACCCATATCAGCAGATTTTTGATAATAAGTGAATGCCTTATGTTTATTCTTTTCAACCCCAATTTCATTTTGATAACAGTACCCAAGGTTGTTCATTCCACTAGAATTGTCCATATCAGCAGATTTTTGATAATAAATGAATGCCTTATGTTCATCCTTTTCAACTCCAATTCCTTTTCTGTAACAATCTCCAAGACTGTCTATTCCGCTAAAATTACCCATATCAGCAGATTTTTGATAATAAATGAATGCCTTATGTTCATCCTTTTCAACTCCAATTCCTTTTTGATAACAATATCCAAGACTATTCATTCCTATTGCATGGCCCATTTCTGCCGATTTTTGATAATAAATCAATGCCTTGTGTTCGTCTGTTTCAACACCGATTCCATCTCGATAGCAATCTCCAAGGGAATTGATTCCATAAGAATCTTCCATAGCTGCTGATTTTTGATAATAAATAAACGCTTTATGATAGTCTTTTTCAATTCCAATTCCATATTTATAACGAAAGCCGACATCACACATTCCATTAGAATTTCCCATTTCAGCTGCTTTTTGGTAATGAACAAATGCTTGATGATTATCGTTTTGAGTCCATTTTCCATAACAATAGCACATTGCGAGAATATGTTGAATTATAGAATTGGTTTGAACAGTATGATTTGTTTGATTATTTAAACATAAGTTGATTATTTCTCCTGGATTTTGCTGTTTATTTGTAAAATGCTGATCTATTGAGTAAATAATTATGCCATTACAATATTCATTCATAACTTCTTTATTATACAAGTCACATAACTCTTCGATAACACTATTTAAAAGATCCTGAGAATTATGCAATGGTGAATCTGTTCGTTTTGAAATATTAATAACTTGATCGGTATCACTATGAGTAGTGTTTTTTATTAATAATTCTATAAATGAATTATTGGAAATGCTTGGTAAAATTTTTTCATTTGACATGATGTGATTAAATTATATATCGAACATGAGAGAAATCGATAATGATTATTTATATAATCGTTGCATAAATGTTTTTTGTAATATGATACACTTAATAAAAAGGTTGGAAATTATGTATTAAAGTATGATAAACATAATTAATTTTGTATTCCTACTCTACTTTTTCTGATATAAATTTAAGACTATTGCTAATTTCACCCTAGGTGATATCACCTGGTTGTATAAAAACCAATCAGATCGCTGGATATTGTGTAACCATAGCAAACCGAAGAAAAGAAAAAATCCCAAAATTTCAAATAACTCAAGACTTAATTTTTAAAACCATGCTCGTCTTCTAAGCAAAACTTTTCAGCGTCAAATTTTACATATATCTAAACTCTTTTAATCTAATTTAAAACTAACCCTAACCCCTAACATTAAATTTATTTACTTATAATAAAAATTTTATCATATCGGTGATATCACCTAGGGTGAAAATTAGGTATAATTTTATTTATATTTGGGTTTAATTTCATCTATATTATTTATTTACGCTATAACATCATTAAAACCCTTATCACTACTATCCTAAAGAAGAAACGATGCTCTATATGCCATCGATCTACCCGAAGTAACAAAAGTAAGATTTCTCTTACTTTTCATGTGACCAATTACTCGGGTAGGGGACGGGACCTTAAATCGACGATCGATCACGGGTAACCGTGATAATGGTAGGAGCACTCTTATGGTGCACAACATTGACTCATTGACTTTATGATTTTCTACAATTTGAACTAAGAAATTTTCAGTGATAAAAAACATAAATCCAATTCGATATTTTGTTTTCCTTCTAGAGGGGTCTACAAGCATCAAAGCCAAACACTTAATTAAATGAAACATGCATAATTTTGTTCCCATTATCCGGATGATCGAACATTGAGATACTTAAACGTATTTATTGCTATGCAGTGTAAAAAAAAAAAGGCAACAGAAGGTAGAATATGATAGGAGAATGTTAGTATCTTATCCAATTTTTGTAAAAATTGATAGAAAATAAGTAAATATGAAACATCAAGCAAATGCATAAAATATAGATAATATAATTTTCTAGAATGTACTGTTAACAACATGGACATATTTTGAAATTTTGACTTCTGAAGTATCTATGAACCTGTTAAAATAAAAATAATTTTGTATGGTTAGTTCAACGAGAATTTGTTTAAAATTCATTGATGCATATTATTAGTAAATTTCAAGAAAATTCTTACTTGATAAATTAACACAAAATGCAAGATTGTTTGAATAACTACCATGACCAAAAATATAATAGTAAAAACACCAGCTACGTAATATCCCATTTCAAACAATTTTACTGCACCAAGCGTTCCACTACTACCTTCATTTATAAATCCAACACCAATAATTACACCAAATAAAATTACAATGAATTCACCAAAGAAATAATACCTAAAATATATTTCACTATTCATTCTAATAAATGAAATTATCAAGTTATATTATAAATAAGTATATGAAAAAATATAATAATGTCTAAATAAAGATATATACTTGTAACCGGCATAAAGACTTAAATGTCTAGCCAAGAAATCACCAACAGGCATAATGATAAGATATAATGCTGAAGCGATGAGTTGAGACAATATTTGCGCTGGATTAAATCTTGATGCCGCAATTGCAATATCAGCCAAAGAATGTGCTAGCAGTGTTATAATATAAACTTTTAAAATAATCATCTAAATTAGTAAGTATATTAATATATTCAACAAAAAGATTATTAATAATGAAATGATTTACATTTAAAAAGAAAATAAGATGCACGAAGTTTTTTCTTATGATCTTCATTTGTAAAATCGTTTTCAATATCATGATAAAGTATCGGATAACATCTTGGCCTTTCATTAAGGAAAAAAAGGGTTCATTAAGAGCAATTCAAATCCTCCACACCGATTATATTTTAATTACATACATACCAATTATTTGGAGGTTGATTCACCGGGTTTTCAATAATTAAGATTGTGTAACGACTACCGGCACCTTGAGATGGTCTATTAGCCATCTTTACTGTGAAATTAATTTTATAGGTAAAAAGATTATAGTTTCTGCCTTTAGTTAAAATTTAAAGATCACTACAATATGAAATAAAAAAAAAGAGCACGATCCTAAGCCATCATTTATAGCTTAAAAAATCTTGTTATGTGGCTTTGATATGTATTATTAATAATCTTTTTTTCAAAGCCACAACAATCAAACGTGGTGCCGAATAACTGTAAGTAATTAAGAACTTATCTAATACCGATACCAAATTATTTTTTGAGAAACTGACTTACGTAACTTCAATTATGCAAACTTTAGTATCGCTATATAGTGAAAAAAAGTATCTTGACAATCTGATTTTATTTTTTAAAATTTAAACTTTAAATGTTAATTATTCTTAAATTGTTAATATCATTTCTTTTAATAACGTGTAGATACAATAAATAACGACTCTGCTCGAAATATATCTTGATAACGAATCAAATTCAACTGAAAAACTGTATCGGTTATAAAGAAACATATCTATTGCTTTTTTAACTTGGTATATGAAGTAATCCGAAGAGGATAATGAAGAATAGGTTATTGAAGATTTTTAAGCAACGATCTTGTAAATAATAATAATGATTCATCATTCGATTTCCTGAGTGAAGAACATTTCGAACTACATATAATTATTTCTAAATTTGCTCAGCGTAATTGTGATAATTGTGGTACGTATCACTGCGATAAAATTGGATCTGATAGATCTTGCTTCATTTTTTATGATAAAAACTGGTTAATGTTAGTATTTTTGGTTGAGAATGTCGTTTATATTTTCACACAAGATTTATCGAAATTTATCAAATTATCGATTAAAAATTTTCATTATTTCAGAATCAATATACCCAAGTGTTTCATTTTCTAATCAAAATGTTAATAAACAAAACTTTCTTAAACAGAATCTTAAACAATATATTACAACCACTACATCTTTGGAAAAACCTGTGTTTATAACAACGCCGATTTTTTATGTAAATGCAGGTGAGTTTAAAGCTGTAAAAACTAATTGAATTTTATTTTCATATATTTAATGTATTTTTGAAATAGTACCGCACATTGGTCATTTATATTCTGCTGTAATGGCTGATAGTCTTAAAAGATATTATGAACTTAATGATAAAAAAGTCATACTTAGCACAGGTACTGATGAACATGGATTAAAGGTATGTAAGTAGTTCAATATATATTTATAATAATAAATATATGGGGACACCTACAGTAAAAGCGGGGGATGTGACTATATAAGATATAGTCCCATCCACTGCTTTTGCTGTGGGCGTCCCCATATGTCGTTATATACAAATACAACATTCATAATAATGATTTTACTATGATTTATTTTTTATTTTATAGATACAACAAGCTGCCGCAAAAGTGAATCAAAGTCCGCAAGAATTCTGTGATAACGTATCTAAAAGATTTCGTGTACGCAATTTTTTTTTTCTTATGATAAGATGTATGTTATTCGCAGCATAAAATAATATCATGATAATGTAGGAACTTTTTGATATGGCAAATATAAGTTATACCACTTTTATACGTACAACAGAACAGAAGCATAAAGATGCGGTTAAGTTTTTTTGGGTAAGTTTGATATATTCTGCAAGTGAAAATTTTATTATATTTTAATCTTTAATTTAATCCTTAAATATGAAATATTAGGAACAACTTGTTAATAATGGATATATATATAAAGGTATTCATGAAGGTTGGTATTCAGTCTCTGATGAAGCTTTTTATAGTGCATCACAAGTACAAATTTCAAATTCGGATGAAAAAATTGCGGTAAATCATTCACATCTGATCATTATAAAATATAATTCTGTTAGAAATGATTAATTATTTGCATGTATCTTTTATAGAATGTATCGGAATCTGGACAGTTAGTTGAATGGACTGAAGAAGAAAATTACAAATTTCGTCTTTCAAAATGTAAAGATGAATTATTAAGATGGTTGGATGAAAATCCAGATGGTAATGACGCCTATCTTTTAATTTAGGCTATTCATATATTGTAATAGACTTTTTGATTTTTTTTATTAGTAATTACACCATCAAATCGGTTCAATGAAGTTAAAGCTTTTATAAAAAGTGATTTGGCTGATATATCTGTGTCCAGACCCCAATCAAGATTATATTGGGGAGTCTCTGTACCTGAAGATTTTAATCAAACGATATACGTTTGGTTGGACGCATTAATTAATTACTTGACTGTTACTGGATATCCTTGGCCATCTCAAGAAAATATCATAAACAACCATTTGACGAGTGGTTGGCCTGCTGATGTTCATATTGTTGGAAAAGATATAATACGGTAAATAAATTTGTAATTTATACTATTTTATTATTATATTTAATTCGTTAAGTGCCTATATGCGATTATTTGTATGTTTAAGATTTCATGCGGTCTATTGGCCTGCCTTCTTAATGGCCGCAAAGTTACCACTTCCAAGAAAGATTTTTGCACATTCACATTGGATGATGAATAAACATAAAATGTCTAAAAGTCGTGGAAATGTTGTTGATCCATTTATAGTGATGAAAGAATACGGTGTCGATACCATTCGTTATTATTTAATGAGAGATGGAGGTATTTCTGATGATGGAAGTAGAGTATTAAAATTTTTTATAATATTTTATTGCAAAAAAAATTTTTTTTAATTGTTTATTATTTTATGATAGCGTATGATCCTACCATTCTTCAAACGCGATATCGTAAAGATTTAGCAGGGCAACTTGGAAATTTAGTATCACGTAGTACTTCTCTGGCACTTAATCCTTCATCAACAATACCAGCTTCACCATCATTTATTGAAGGTGTAAACGAGAAGGATATGACATTATTTAAAATGTTACAACAATTGCCAGGTAATATTGTGGGTACTGTATAGTGATTTATATCATTTATTATTTATTATTTATATAATGAAATATTTTTGTATACAGATCTAGTAAGTGACCATTATGAAAACATAGAATTTGGCAAAGGATTAGAATTGATTTTTGAGACAGTTGCAGAGGTAAGTATAATAATTGTGATTATAGAGATTATAAGTGATTTATTGCAATTACTAATTATATTAAATACATTAATTACGAATTACCATTTTTAATAATAAAAGGCCAATAAACATTTCACGGATAATGAACCATGGAATTTAATTAAGAATCCAAATAGAAAAGTGATTTTAGATCGTGTATTATTCTTTGCTGTTGAAACTGCTAGAATTTCGGGAATTTTATTACAACCAATAATGCCAACAAAAATGAGAGAGTTGTTAGACATGATTGGTGTTAGTAATGACGAAAGGAAATGGAAGCATTCGAGATTAGGAAGTGGATGGCAAGTTAAAGGTGGAGGAAATGTAAAGTTTAATGTTAAAGATGGACATTTTCTGTTTCCAAAATAACAAAATTTATATTTTGAAATGTATGTAAATATAATCAAATTTTAAGTATTGTATATATAAAGAACCAATAGTTTCCCCTTAGGCCATACAAAATTTATTAATTGATTGATTTTCATAACCCGGCCGGGTCAAAATTTGTAAACTTGTAAAAAAAAAATTTATATGTTTTAATAACCGGGTGGGTTTTAAAAAAAGATTTTATAAAAATTTTATAAAAATTTTATAAAAGTTTTATATATGAAATTTTTTAAAAAAAAACCGGCCGGGTCTGTTTAAAAGTTTCATGTTATGAAAATCAATATATTAAATTTTTGTGGCCTTAGTTCTTTATTCATCTGAATATGTTAGTCATATTTAAGCTTTTTGATAACGATAGTTCCAATTGAATATAAGCTATAAATCGCGTAGTCAATATACATTTTGACTTATCTGATTATCTAATAAGACTAATTTGACCGGTTTTGTCCATATCTGTATACTATATGATAGAAATCATTATCGTTCGATATAGAGAAAGTTATGTAAATATCTGTGGTACTTCATTATTTTTATAACAATTAAATACGTTAAACTTAGCCAACAAATTTTTTACTTTAGAGTATACATAAATTTAATGATTAGTATTGCCGGGCGAAATTCTTGAATATGTAACAGTAGGATTAAACTTTTCAAATATACTCAAGAAAAAGTCACATAGCTGAGTTTAAATTTTTCCCCGAGCAAAATTAGTCGGTACTTTCACTTTGGTGAACAGTAGTAAAATTATGTTGAACTACATTCTGGATGATAATTTTATTCAACCTCTTTTTTTGCTAAGAAATTCAAACGACTTGATAACGAAGATATTTGCCTATATAATATGTATAGTATTTCATATTTTATTTAATCGTTATCTCATTAGTATTCATCACACTTGAGGGTATAGCATTTTCATCTTTACTAATTTTTTTTCATTCCTTCTCATATCATCTTTTTGGATTTGTTTTTACCCATCACAAGCACTTGGCGATCGACATTTGCAATACTTGGGCACTTCATATAAACAAAACTATAAGCAAAAAAAGAAAATTTATTAGTTTACACGTAGTGTTTATACCAAAACAAAATTAAATCCTTGCTTATGGTTAGGATAAGGGTGGTTCGGGATTGGGCGTGTTGTTGCTCACTTTCCCGATTCCTGACAAGACCCATTTCGGGACACCTTATGAAAAATTAACCGAATGCCGATTCGATAAATTATTGAGTTCGGTATGATCAATGTAATGTTTATTATTTACGAAGATAGTCTAACGTCTGATACGTACGAAGGTGCTATTCGATTTATGATTTTATAATAATTTATTAAGTAATAGACGACAATTTCGGTTTATTTATTTTCAATGTTTATAAATATTTTTAACATTAACATTTTATTTTTTACACTTTTACACTCTTTATTAATTGATTTTTCAAATATTATAAAACTACTTAAATTTAAATCTAATTTTTTTAAAAAAGTATTACTTTTTTTTTATATAAAAATTGTAATCTTGAATAAATTTAATTTGAATTCATCAATCTTGATTATTTTCATTATTTTATATAATATAACCTATATTTATACTGGTATAAAAAAAAAAATTGAATAAATTGTGTAATAATTAAAAAACCAAATAAGAACATTTATTGTAAACTGTAATCACAAAGTTATTGTGATTATAAGGAGTTTCCAGTTACTTAATTTTATATACCTTTTCATTACCTATAATGATTAATACCAAATTTTCATCCATCTGACCCTTTTAAAGAATAATTACCTTAATTAGTCAGTTCTATGAACAAGAAATCAAAATACTAACTGAAATATTAAACTTTAAAACTATAAAAAAGTTATTTTTAAATTGAATATTGTTAAGATTTAAGATTATAATATATTTCTGTTATGCATCATTTCTCAATTTATGTCAATTATTAATTGATGTCTGTCATTTTTCAATTTTCATTAATTGATAAATGATGTATGTCAATTTTTAATGCAGATTATATTATAATCAATTATAGTTTATAACAGATATTAATGCAATAGTTCTTAATGTAACAATAAACTTATTATATATTATATTGATATGAATAATAATAAATAAATAAAATCATTGCATAACTTCACTCTTTCCGATGATCATTTGAACCAAACTTTCCAAAAAGTCGAACTACAGAAAATGATATAGTTAATATATTAAACTTTATGAAAACCTTTCTGGAG